GAAAGACGCTGCTGGCGTATTTTTATTCTCACAGTTTTGCTTTTCCCGAGTAGAAGCGTCCCTCGGTGGGGTCCTCTGGTTTCCTGTTCCCAGAAAGTCTCCTCTAGTAGGATGGCCAGACTTCCAGGGTGAACCGTGAAAACAGGGCTTTCCTGTCTTTGGTTCAGGCCCCTGAGGTTGACCTGTGCAACCTGTTTTGGCTGAAAAGATCGCTCTTGTTGGTCTTGGCTGACAGCCTATCGCCCCTGTCCCTGGTGTTGAGATCTGGTGGGTGTTGCTGGGTGGCCGGGCGCCCTATGGGCACCGCGGGTGGGTCTCCCTGGGGCCAGGGCCAGGGCCAGGGGAGGGCGGACAGGCAGGGCTTTGCCTGTTTATCACAAGATCCATCAGTGCTGTCGTGACCTGAGGGGGATGCTGGCAGCCCCTGATGAATGGGCCTGCTTGTCCAGCAGCCCCGGGGCCCCGGCTATGGCAGCCAGGCCAGAGCTGCTGTGCCCAGGGCCCCAGGCAGCCACTGCTGCAGGTGGGAGACATGGTGAAGGAAGGCGCCTGAGACCCCGGCCCACCCGCCCGCTGGAGCCGGCGCTACAGGGGCTGCTGCGCGGGGAGGGCAGGCGGCCTGCTGGTACAGTAGAAGCAGCCTCGGCTTTTATCTGAGCTGGGGGTCAAGGGATTCGTCGTCCTCGGGCAATAATAAAATCATCAGGTTCTGAGGCGAAAGTCAGAGACTCGGGCCTCTTGCAAGTAACTGGGGCTTAAAAGGAAAGTGGCTTAAAGAGATCCTATTAGGAAAGAACAAAAAAACATTTGAAAAGCCGGGAAATCATTCTCTCCTGCGATGATAACGGGAAGGGCTTTACGGAGCACGCACCTGCTTTAGAAGGGGCCGCTGTTTCCTGCTCCCAGGTCGCAAGGGGAATTCGCAGGTGCTCCTGCTTGTGGGTCTGGGGTGATGGGGCTCCAGGGGAGGGAGTGGCTCCACGGCACCCTGCCCTGCTTGGCCTCGTCAGGTCCCGGGGCGCTGTGCCCAGGGCTTCCTCCCCATCTTCCCTGCCAGGCACTCACTCCATGGTGTGCACGCCGAGGCTCAGGGGTGCAGTGGGACCCCAGCCTGAGTTCTCCGTCCCCTGCAGCCCTGTCCTCCAGGGCAGGTCGACCCTGAACTCTGCCTGCTTTTGCTCCCCTTCCTTCCCACAGTGAGGGCACAGAGCCCCGCCAGCTGGCCGCGCCCCAGAGGAGCCTCCCTGGTGCCAGTGGGGGGGGGTGCCTGGAGAGGATGGCTGCAGCCAGCAGCAGTCTCGGCCTTTGTGTGAAGCAGGTGTCAGACGCTTGCTCGGTGACCTCATGTGAAGTAGGAAGTGGCACCAGAATATCCACAGGGCCAGCAAGGCCCCCTGGGTTCAGTGCCGCAGAAACCCGGCTCAGGGGAGGTGGTTGGCGTGTCAGGGACAGCCCTGTGTGTTGACCACACACATCCTGACCTTCCGCCGGCACAGGTGTGCAGGGGATGTGGCGGTTAGGAGTGGCGGCCTCCTCCAGGCTGATGCAGAGATGACAGAGTTGCCAGGGGACACAGTCCTGGTGCCTGCGTCACAGGGAGGAGACCCAGCAGCCACCACAGGCAGGGATGTGGGCTGAAGATGCTCTGCATTTTAAAATGCAATTATATCACCCTCCCTGCTCCGTGGAAAGAGTTCTAAGTTTGCTGAGGTTGGGGCACGTTTATCGATGTTTTAATGCGCGTTTTTCATAGAGACCTAGAATTACAAAGGCTCCCTTGGGGCTCTGGAGTCCGACAGCCCGGAGGCACACCGATTAAGTGTGTGGCCTCACACCGGGCGCCAGGCCTGCCGTCTGCGCAGAAGGGTCATGACGTTCGTTCCCGTCACATCCCAGACCGTTGTGAGGGTAAGATGCTATCGTGAACGCAAACGCACTTTGCAAACGTTGATATCTTCCATGACGTTGCAGAGCGGACTCAGTAGTGATGGCTGGAAAGTCCGCCTGGCTTTCGGAATCTGTGCTTTTGATGCTCGAGCCCATGGAACATCGACACTCATTCCTGGAAGCGGTAGACGTGGAGGCGGCCTTGGGCACTGTCTGGGCCTCCTGTGTTTATGCGCAAGGAGATAAGACCAGGAGCCGAGGGGGCCCTCAGCACGGTCAGCGGAGGCTGAGTCGAGGCTGAGGCAGATGAACGGATGGCCCCCCACCCGCACCCCAGCCCCGCAGGCCGGAAGACCCGGCACCCGACATCCACTCCCCGACTCCTCAGAGCTGCAAGCAGGCGGTCCCGTTGCCCCCGTGGGGAGGGGAGGCTGACTCCCTTTATCCTTAACCTCAGCTACTGTCCCTGACCACCCACTCTGTGGGGACCTGCCTTCCTGGCTTCCCCGCCCCCACCCACAGGTTCGAGCGCATCGTCCGCCCATCAGGTGCACAGCCCTGCTGTCACCTGGGCTCCAGCGCTGGGCTGGGCTCAAAGATAAAGCAGTAAACATGGCACCTGCCCTCCACGTCTGCAGGAGGGAGCAGACAAGCAGGCAGCTGTACAGTGAGGCAGGGCCATGGGCTGGATGAGTGGGTGCAGTGGGAGCACGTGGGAGGGGTCCAGGCCAGGACGTGGAGGTGGTGGCTGGGGAGGATGATGGCTAAGCTGAGGGCAGGGGACAAGGCAGAGCGTCCAAGAGAAGGAGACGGGGGCGGGGGCAGCGGGTAGACCAGATGACTTGTCTACTGCACATTAAACAGCCACCATGCTGGAACCCTTAGGAATCATGTGAAACAATAAGGTGTGTGTGTGTGTGTGTGTGTGTGACCTGCTGCCCACCAGGCACAGCTCCCGGCCCTGGAGCTGTTCTAGGCAGCAAGGCCATAAGGTTCCTGCTTCCCTGGAGTGTACGGTTCAGATGGCAGGATCCACTGGGTGTGGGCTCTCAAAGTTTTCTGACCATGACTCACAGGAAAAAATGAATTTTAAAATGTAAGTCAGTAAACCTACCCCCCCCACCACACAGACACACACACACACACAGACCCCCACAGAGATAAACTGTCACGGCGCAGCATCTGCCTTCCTAGCACAGGCAACCTGCTTACACGGGTGCTTTCGGTTCTGCTGTATTTTATCTTAAAATGTTCATCACGGCTCACTGGTGGCCATGGTTTGAGAAGCACATTTTCGAGGGCAAGCTCTGGGTGGGCATTTGGACAGGGTGTGGGGAGAAACAGGTCTGGCCCAAGGTCCCTGAGCTGGGTGTTTCAGACCAAGTCAGGTGGAAGGGAGAGTGGATGGACGGATGGATGGATGGACGGGTGATGGAGGATGGAGGGTGGATGGATGCATAGATTCCCAGATGGGTGGAGGGGTGTGAGAATGGTTGCAGGGAAGGATGGATGGATCAATGTGAGTTTCTCCATAATGGCTGTTACTCAGCAGATTTTTTTTCTGGAGGCGCTTGGTGTTATTAACAGGACTGGGGGGCTGAATTAAGTGAGCAGGACCCAGAAAGCTAGCAGCAATCTACCTACAGTGTATCATGGCATTCCTAATGTGGGTCCTTCTATTTTTAAAAACGTGGAAAAGCATTGGCCTTGTAGCATGAAGAGCTCCCATATCTGGCATAAAGCAGTGCTCACCATAAAGCATCACTTACCAGGTGACTGTCGGTGATCAGTTTGTGCCATTGAGCACATGCATGTCATCCCACGAACGGGCCGGCTCCGCGAGGGCAGGGGTCCACCTGCCTCAGTCGCTGCTATTCCCAGGGCCGAGGACAGTGCCTGGCCATGGTGGATGCTTACCTGTTTGTCCACTGAATGAAGAGCTGTGTCTTCCTGCCTCACTGCGAAGGCTGGATTCTGGAAGGTCGTCAGCATGTTCTCTGTTCCCCACGTCTCGTGTGTGGTGGGGACATCAGTGCATGTGAGACCCTTTATGGGGGTTCCCCCTTGTTTTAGTGTGTTCCTTTCACCTGGTGGCTGAAACTTCACGAGTCTGTGGGGAGGCCAGCGCGAGTGTCCCGTGAGGGTGTGGTTTGAACGGCGATCAGGAGGCCCCTTCTCCTGGGCCTGGAGGCGTCTTAACCGTTACGAACGGCTCCACCTTCTCCTGGGTTTGGGTGTTTGGGGCCAGTTCTGGGGGCACATTATCCTGCTTCGGGGAAGCCTGCAAGGAATCCCAAGAAGGCTTTGGCTGTCAGGAGGTGGCTTCTCTGCGGTGATTTCAGTGACGCTGGTATTGAGGGAGCTGCCTCGGCTGGGCCTCGGAGAGACGGGAAAAGGTGGTGGCGTCAGGGTGACCTGTCCTAGAGCAGCATTCCTGGCCTGTGTTTGGTGGCTGTGACCTTGGACACCAGCAGGGTTTCTGGGTCCTGAGCGACTGCAGGCATCGCGGCCACTGGCTCTGAACTGGTAAGGAGGTCAGTGAAGTCCAGTGTGCACACGTCACTCAGATTAGACTGAAGTCCATGTGA